ATTATAAAATCACTCTGATTACTCAAAATCTGGCAACCTGCCTACCTAGCAGAGTAACTTGTGTGAGCAGAGTAGAGCCGCAACAATTTCCCCTCCGCACTCCAAGCATTCAATAATCTCTTTCCCACTCCTCGCTCCACTGATCAGAAACACCCTCCGCCTTCGTTTGAAATAGCATTCATACGACGCTTGTTTATATATCTTGCTGTTTATGTTTACTATATGCATTTAGGACATTAACGTTTGTGAACAGTGGCATACAGTAGTACTTTGGCCATGCACGTAATAATCTTATGATCTATTTATATGAATATTCAGCTGATCATCCGAGACAGTACATAACATGGCAGCTCAGTAGGTTTTGACAGTATCCAGGTGCGTGATAAAACACACCTGTTGTAGATAACTAGATTAAAGAACTACATAATTAAATTTCAATGGTATTTTTAAATCACATGATGTATATACAGTAAACATTTCTAAAGCAAACTAAAAGATTTGCAACTTTAATCAGGAAATGAGAGGCAGGTAACAGGGTTGACCACATCTCATGTGTTTTTTTGCTTCCTTGTTGTTGCAGCATAAACGTGAGCTTCATATTTCTGTAAGATATGGCCTCTTCAATGACTACTGAGGCGAATGGAGTGAGGGTAGTGACTCATATTATCCCGCTGGAGGAAAAAACAGAGTCTCCAGACCTAAAGTCAAGCTCGGTCGAACTAGACAAGTCCAACCTATCACCAAAAACCAGGATGTTCCTGAAGGGGAGGCCTCTGTCACTGGGGGTGAGAGCTGGACACGTGTATTCGGATGCAGTTTCACAGCAATATTAAATATGAGTTAAGCTATGTTGACTACAGAAAACAATTTGAACTTGGAATTGTTTCAGCTGCTTGTAACAGATGTTGTTCATAATTCATATTAATTTTAAATAGATTTTCCCTTAAACATTCTCCTACTGTTTAGAGGGAAATTATTCAGGAAAGTTTGTCAGATTTATATTTTACTGAAGTGTGTGTGTATGTGTGTGCAGTTGGTGCAGGTGTTTACAGGTTTGGTGGTCATGACTGTGCACCATCACGGTACTTGTGGACATGCTGAATGTTGAGACTGTAATGTCCCTTGGCCTTCCTGTGAGTGACCATTTTGATCCCTAATAATACAAAATATCAGCATTTATGTCAACTTTAAAGTCTACACAATAAATAAATACACAAAAAATGCCACTGAAATATAAATGAATAAATATGATCATTTATTTAAAGAAGAGGAGGTGGTGGGAGGGGGTGGAAATTTTCTACAATTTTCCAAAAATGTTCAAAAAGTCCTGGTAAGTTTACAGGACTTTACCAGAAATTTTCCGCCCCTTTGCAACCCTATTTCTAATTTATCGATTTGTTTTATTTATTTATTTGTTTTTGTTTTTTGCATTAAATTAAAATAAAATTTGCTTTAAAAATTAAAATATAAGTACATTTTATTAAGAAAATGAATACATTTTTACATTTTATTATGATATGATTATATATAGTCAAGTTTGATTTTTCACCCTTCATAGTAAAAAGTTTGGGCACCTCTGATATGGAATCACTGTAGTTTGGTTCAGGTTAATAAAAACAAATAAAATATACATTGAAATGTAATATTTTTAGGGTTTTTTTCTTTCTTTTTTTCAGTTTGTCATCTCTGGGTCCATGGCAATTGCTGCACACGAGAGATCCAGTCTTACTCTGGTGAGCAGATTCTGATATTTACTGCATATTTTTACGTCACACATACCTGGTGTGTTCAGATACCTACAGCATTCTGCACCCTTTCTGAAGTCTGAATACACTTCAGTATTTCCTGAAGTCTTCAAATGTTTCCTGAAAGCCTGAAAATGCTTCATTATGCAAGAAATATACATTCTTATTCTTTGTGTTTGTGCAGATCAAAGCCACGCTGGCCATGAATGTGATCTGTGCTCTGCTGGCTGCTGCAGGAACCGGCTACTTCAGTTGGGAGCTCAGCAACAGACCAGGGGAGGATCCTTGTAACGGCGGAGAATACTGGTCATGTTCGATCATGATATGGAGATTTAATGTACGTCTGTAACTAGTGATGATCTCAAGCTCATATTTACATTAAATGAATGCAGATGCATATGCCTGCCTGTAGCATATTTGTAGGACAGAACTTAACTGTTTTTATGCCACGTGCAATATTTTTTATTTAGAGTTTGATAGATGGAGTGAGGGGTCTCCTGCTGGTGCTGTGTTTTCTTGAACTGTGCGTGTGCATCACTCTGTCCATCTTTTCCGCCCGGGCCATCCAACAGGTGAGACCAAACCCAGATCAAACCTCAGTAGAGGTTCATATTTGTGACCCTGGACCACTTCCATTGATATATGGTTTGTTAGGATAGGACAATATTTGGCAGAGATACAACTATTTGAAAATCTGGAATCTGAAGGTGCAAAAAAATCTAAATATTGAGAAAATTGCCTTTAAAGTTGTCCAAATGAAGTTCTTAGCAATGCATATTACTAATCAAAAATGAAGTTTTGATATATTTACGGTAGGAAATTTGCAAAATATCTTCATGGAACATGATCTTTACTTAAAGGAACACTCCACTATTTTTGAAAATAGGCTCATTTTCCAACTCCCCTAGAGTTAAACAGTTGAGTTGTACCGTTTTCGAATCCATTCAGCCGATCTTTTAGCTTAGCTTAGCATAGATCATTGAATCTGATTAGACCTGATTAGAGCATTTCGCTCAAAAATGACTAAAGAGTTTTTATATTTTTCCTATTTAAAACTTGACTCTTCTGTAGTTACATCGTGTACTAAGACCGATGGAAAATGAAAAGTTGCGATTTTGTAGGCCGATATGGCTAGGAACTATACTCTCATTCCTGTGTAATAATCAAGGAACTTTGCCTATTAAGCCTATTTTCAGGCGCTGCGTAATATCATTGCGCCTGCTGCACCCATGGTACGGCAGCAAAGTTCCTTGTTTAACTCTAGGGGAGTTGGAAAATGAGCCTATTTTAAAAAATAGTGGAGTGTTCCTTTAATATCCTAATGATTTTTGGCATTAAAGAAAAATCAATCATTTTGACCCATACAATGTATTTTTGGCTATTGCTACAAATATACCCCAGCGACTTAAGACTGCTTTTGTGGTCCAGGGTCACATTTATTATTCACCTGATGTCATTCCATGAGGAAATGTAAATGAGGGTCTGATGGCCTGTTGTAGTTGAAGATCTAAGCTCAAACTTCAGTTCTCAGTGTATAGCCTTGATTGTGAAATAAAGATGTGATCTAAGAAAATCTTTTTTCTACTTCAGGATGAAACCAATGTCGACCCTTACGGTAGTGACTCCAGTCTTCTGAAGGTTGGGGCGGATTTAGTCTCCAACCCCTGAACAGCCGCACAGTTATGGCCAAGGTTTATCTAGTCAAAAGTTTAATCATCATATAGGCTAAGTGTAATAACATTTGCTTTATAGAGTTCTTTCTTTTTGATGGAATTGTTCGATATAATACAGCATACCCATTTCCCACTAGATGATTTGTAATTTTTTGCAGTATCATCTGTTATACACACTTTTGTATGGTAATGTTCTTTGGGACCTTTAGCACGCTTCTTGCTGATTTCATGAATAAAATGCTCTATATTCTACATGCTGCTGTTATGTCATCTGCTAAAGTCAGGATGGATTCTGATTGGCTGTCAGTGTTTTTAAAGTTGGTGGAAAAATGATTCTGAAAGTGATTCTGACAATGTTTCCTCAATACTTTCTTAGTGTTGGGGAAAAAGGGCACATTTATTTCTAAAAATATAACTTGCTCTCCAATACAGATTCTAAAGAAAAAGCTTAAGCATTCATTTATGGAAGCCCATTTCAGCTGCATAAGAAAAATCATGCTTTGATAAATAAATGTAAAATTATCACATACCAAGTCAAAATTATGACAAAAAGTTTAAATTGATATAAAAAGTCCAAAAATGTTGTAATTGTGATTATGAAAAGTCAGAATTATGACACACTAAGTTATAATTATAAGATACAAAGTTGAAATTATGACATAGCAAGTCATAATTATGGCATCAGAAGTTGAAATTATGAGATAATACATTTTTATCTCGATTTCGACTGTCAGAATTTCGACTTATGTCATAATTTAGAATGTTTTATGCCTTAATTATGACTCGCGTCATAATTCTGACATAATTGTGTCTAGATTAGCCTTTTATGCAATAATTATGACTGACAATAAAACACTAGAGTTGGATATATCTTTTACTCCAGTGGTTCTCAACCTTTTTGACAAGGTCCACCACAGTCCAAAGATTTTTACTCCTCACCCCCATTGAGGAGTATAGGTGTAAGGAGTAAGCTCCAAACCCCCATTTTTTAATTTACAGAAATTAGTAGTGTCCATAGATTAAAATAAGTAACTAAAATAATAATTATCAACCCGAAGGTTGCAGGTTCGAGTCTCAGGTCCGGTGGGGGGTTGTCGTACAGCGCTCTCTTCCACACTCAATAACACGACTGAGGTGAGACCCTTGAGCAAGGCACCGAACCCCCAACTGCTCCCCGGGCGCTTCAGCAATATGGCTGCCCTCTGCTTCGGGTGTGTGTTGGACGGTGTGTGTGTGTTCACTACTGTGTGTGTGCACTTGGATGAGTTAAATGCAGAGCACAAATTGTGCACAAATTTTGGCCACATGTCACTTCACTTCATTTAAATCATCTTGAGGCCCCATGAACGTTTGCCGGAACGCTGGTTGAGAGCCACTTCTTTATTCTTTACTCTTTACTCTAGACATGCACACCCCATCCACAGTCCATATATGCAAGACATTATGGACATTATGGTTTCACGAATTTACAAGCCTGCAGTTTCTCCCAAGACACTCTTGACTCAGCTCTTATCCTCTACATAATTCATAACCGGTTTAAAAAATACCCCGCTCTCGAGCGCTTGCAGGGGTGTTTTCTGGAATATGGGCTGGTGGAATGAGTTGAGTTCTACTCGGGACCGAGCCAACCTGGTTTTCTCCTTGTTTAGCCACCGCCTCCCCTCATGACATCAACACTGCGGAGAGCCGCCGCGCGCTCAGACACTGCTGCAGAACGCCAGTGCGCAAAGGTAAGCGAGTGCATCCTCAACACGCACGATCACGTTAGTATACTTAAAAAGAATGAATGGGTTGAAAATATCATTTAAAATATGCATGAACAACGCGTTAGCTCGTATGCACGCCGTTTCGTTGATGTATGCTGTTGTGACTGTGTTTGCAGCGGATCGTGCGGTATTGATGAGTGATTGGTGATCTATCAGCATGTCGCTGTACGCGTCTCAGATTAAAGCGTTTAAGAGCGCGGAGCCCAAGACACTTGGCGTGAGTTTCACTACAGCACACTATCACATTATTATATCGGTAATTTGCCGCTGAATCATCAGCTACAGATGTTTTATCAACTAGCCTGTTTCGTTACGCTTGATTTTATAGTCTAAACACGTTGTTTACATATTGTTGGTATGTTGCATATGAGTTTTTAGTAATGCAATAAGTGCTGTCCTATAGAAGATCATATTTAGGCTTTAGTTTAATATGTAGCACATGTAGTATATTTAATAAATGACATCTGGCCAACATCCAAGGACACACCCATATCTCAACACACACATACACACTGACAGACTGAACTGAATATAATCAAGATAAATCCATTATAAATTCATTTCAACTTGGCTTATTTGCGTTAAAAAAATACAGTCTTATTTTTTAACCAAGAACAGAATTGATAATCGTAATAATAATAATGATATGACATATAGACAGATTTTACAAAAACCAACCAAAAATAACTCAATAAAAAATGCTAATATATTTCAGCATGTAAAACTGCAGTTTGTGATTGTAATTTTGTGTGCTTTGGTTTAGGCTATTGAGATCATAATTGGTGTGTTTACTGTCATTTTGAGCACAATTGTGTATAAGCTGCACTACCATATCCAGCGTGAAATCATCATCCTCATAGTCAACGGTGCTCAGGTACAAATACACACACATTGGAATACATTTAAGATGTTTAAAATCAGCCATGTGACATACGGCTCTGTTTCCTACAGCTTGTCATAACTGGTGTTGTCCTGGTGCACACTGGGAGGAAGCCATCTAAATGTCTGGTACAGTATGAACACACATATATGAATATCTTCTGAAAATTAGAAAGTGAATGAGTGCAGTCAGTTGACACAAATCAAGTCACCTCATTTAAATCCTTTTAATGTCCTTCCGTCAGAAGGACCTTGCTCCTCCTCGTCCTGTATTGACCAAATACTGTAAGTGCAGTCTCAGCAATAGCCTCGTGTAATCAAACTTTTCAACAAACGTCCTCTTTGCATATGCTGTATTTTGGCCAAGAACCAGCCACTTAGATTGCAAGACATTACTTGAATGACTTCTGAAGTGATCAACCATAGTTTGTTTTGTTTTTATGGGGCAGTTTGGAACAGTGTTATTTTGATACTTTTAATTCATATTTTGAATCAGCTTTTGTGTCTATGTAGTTTTTTTATTATTTTTAACTTCAGTTTGAATCAGTTTTTGTTTTTATATTTATATTATTTTAGTCAGAGTTTTAGTAATTTTGTTTTTGTAATTTTAGTAGTTTTTGTTTTTTAATATATATGTCTATATAGTTTTTGGTAATTTTTCTATTTTAGTTTTAGCTAATTTAGTAAATCAAGTTAAACGAAATTCAAACGAGAAATGTTGCCTTGGCAACTAGCTGAAATGAAAGAATTTTTACAGTTGATTTTATTTCTTTAATTTTCAGTTTATTTCATGCTTTTTAAGATTTTAGTTAACTATAATTGCTAATATTTTCAATGTATTTTTCAGCATTCATCATTATTGGAAATGAGAGTTTTACTATTATGTTATTGGAAATTATTTATTGTTAAAATACATGTCTGTTCATTTGTTGCAGCTGCTGACAACAATTGTTCTGCAGTTACTAACAGCAGCATTTGATATTGTTGGATTTGGGCTCATGGCCAGACACATCCCATTCAGAGGAGAGTCGTACTACTACAGGGACACAGAGGTAAACAAACAGAGACGCCCCATCCTGCTCATCCTCGAGCCAAGACACCTTCCTTCCCACAAGTGACTCAATATTTCAAATACTGTAAAAAAAACAAAAAAACAGATCATATACTCAGTTATTGAAATAACACAAGAATGGCTTCATCTGTTAAAAAAGGGGGAAATGTTATACTTCAAATGGCCCGCTTGCTTTGTTCATTGCCAAACAAAGATGTCAGTCGAATTTTGAAAGCTGGCAATTTTATTTCTGCCTGTCCTGAATGTGGAACAGCAAAGCAGATGATTTTGAGTGTAGGAATCAGGGAGCTGTACATCGATCTGAACGTCGGTCTCTGGCAGACGGCAGACTGTGGTTGAGTGTGTGTGAGTAGAAAGAGAGATGTGACTCCAGGCTCTGTCCTGCTTGTTTCAGTGGTGTTGTGACCCACTTCACTCTGTTTCGGCTTGCTGTGGAGATGGAGGGAAAGAGGCACAAAAAGAGGTGAGTCGCATTACAAGCTTTACGATGCAGTGGGAAAACTACACACCCTGAGACTTTTCCCCTAGTTTTAGACTGGTGCAATGCACAATTCTTAGTGTTTTATGAGAGAACTCATGCCACAAGCATTTATTAATTTAGAATAACTTTGCTCTTTGATGCGCAATTTAGACTAGTGGTCGACCAATATGGGTTTTTCAATGACATATGATACCAATAACTAAAGAGTGGCATGGCTGTATTGATGCATCAGTGTTGTTGTTAAATAAACCAAAAAAAAAAAAAAACTAAAAATCATCTTTGCTAATTGAAATAAAGCTGAAATAAAATGTAACTTTAAAAAAATATATTAATATTCAATTATATTATTATATTAATTGAATGACTAATATTAAAGAAAAAAAGGAAAATATAGAAATATTAGACAGAAAAACATAAACATTATAAAACCTTAAATGAAAATGGGCAACTAAATAAAATACAGTAAATCACGCAAGTAAAAGACAAAATCACATAAGAAAATTATTCAAACTTAAAATGTAAACTGAAAGTATAAAAATAAAAGCTAAAATACAATAATAGTATATTAATAATGCTAAAATAACACTGTGATGTATATAGGTGAATGCAATGTAAATTCTACATTTTCTTCACCAAAAAAGTGTAAAAATAGAAATTGCGCATAAAGCAAATGGCCAAATATCAAAGTCACTTAATTAGAATTTTGGAATATGATGACTGATTAATTGAAGTATAACATTTTCCATTTTCCCTCTCTGTGGATATTCATATTGTTTTTTTGTGTTATTATTTGCATATGATTGTGATTTACCATGTAAATACTGGGGTGTTTGTATATATAGTTTTATCATAGAACAGTGCTGTTGGGATATACTATTGTATTTGTGGTTTGTATTACAGTTCTTAGTGAATGGGATCTTGGTGACACTGATCGGTTTCCTGATGCTAGCATGTGCCATTGGTTTGGTTGTTTCTCTTTTTGGGGTCTACACCCTTTCTGTTAGTGCCATAAAGGTACGTATTTCAGCACTGCTCTCAATATCTGAGAATTATGTTCTGTTTAAGGTATAATGTTCTAAGGCTAATTTGTAATGAAACTGACTATCCAATTTACTGTTTGCCCTCAGGAGATGACGCCCATCCCTCACTCTACAGCAAACCAACATTATGGTGTTGGTGTTCAGACCCAGAAATCGATCCATGCTGGAAACTGATAAAATAAGAGGCAGAAGGGCACAGTTTTAGCACAGTTTTTCGGTTTTTCACCAACTGCAAAAGAGGACTGTTTCACCTACAAACCACTCACAGGTAACCAACCACAACCACAGGAAAAAAAAAAAAAAACTTTTGTGAAGTTGTAAATAATTTTTTGAAAGTAAAATGGATAAAATCTCGTTTTTTGCTTGGCTGTTGCTCTCACAGGCTGTAGGACTGCTGTAATTTCGAATGCTCAACTTAATAGTTATTCGTACCTCATTAATTTTCGCTCTTACAAACTGAAGCTTCTTAGCATGAAATTCTAATCAAATGTCTACCCAGAAATCTAGTGTTTTCGATGTATGTTAGATGGGTAAGTGTGTTTATCGTTGTTAGGGTATGTGAAATTAGGTACGTAGCAGAAACAGAAAAGGAATTATGGTGAATGTGAACGGTAAGAAGGTTCTGTAATTGCGTCTTGTTTCATAGCATTTTGTACCACCTTTTGCATGAATCTTTATATTGGTCAACATGTTTGTTTTAGCCACATGAGGACATTTATCAAGTTGATATTTGTTCGTTTGAATAGCAATTTGAAAATGAACACTTGAAACCATAAAAATGTAACAGCACTGTAAGCAAGCCAAATTATTTTATTTATATATATATATATATATATATATATGCTTACAACAACAAAAAATCCTTTAAATAAGAGCCTTGATAAATGTGGCCCATGTTCAGTGAAACTCCTCTAAAGCAGAGTAATGTGAATTTAAACACCAGTGAATAACTAAACAGCATCGCTTGGCTTTTTTGTCATCTCGTTTAATCCGTGCTGATTCTTCAGGAAAGCTATGATGACTGCCAACTCTGTAAGTGCCACCACTTGTGACCAAAATCATGGACACCCTTATGACTAAAGGTCAGAGGTTGAACCCTCAGTCAAGGGCTCGACTTTGGTGATGTAAAATCCTCTTGTGGAAGCATGTGTCGTCCGTTCTGTGTCTGTAGATCTTTGTCTTTATGACAGCATGTGAGATTTACATTGTGCCTGTTCTCAGTGAACTCTTGACGTGTAGTAAAATGAAAACAAGTAGTATGTAGTAATATGGCTGTGTTTGTGTTTGTATTTGACTGAATGATATTTCAAATAAACTTGATTTAATACACAATCTGATGCTGTCTTGTTAGAGATTTTTTTCACAGTGCACACACAATTAAATCAGCAGATATTAATATAAACTCTCAGCAAATCATTGTCGAGAGTACAGTTTAATCCTGCAAATGGGTTGAAAAATCTAATTGTATTCTCATAGGATTTTATTGTAAATTCCCTCTCTAGACGATCTGAAATAAGTGTAACAATTTTGAAACCAGTTTTATTAAAAACTAGGTTATATAAACAGACTTTTATTCTAAAATATCAGAAGAAGTTCATGAATATGTATTATGTAGCATTACGTCAGACCAGTATGCTTTCCTGATTTGCGGACAGGGTTCTGGTTAATATTCATAAGATGAGCCTTACAGTCAGCAGCGTAAGTGGACTATTGTGAAACATTCAGAATCCATTTGCCGGGGGATCGGTTTGGATGGTGTTTGTTATGGTCTGGGGTTTGGGTTCAGAGTCTGGACAGTATGAGTGTGTTTCTGCTGTAAACACTCATTCATGCCCTGACGATTTCTTGGATAGTTAAGTGATTCACCTTGATGAGTACTGTATGTAATTCAATATGAGTGTTTTGTTTCACAGTATAATATTTCAAATAATGAGGGAAAAACTTAATTATCATATTCTGTGCTGATGTTATACAGTATGCAGAAGGTCCGAAAGATTCTAGTTCATCTGTCGAAGGAAAACGCCGCTCCCCAGTGCGCACGATTCGTGCAGGTCAGCAGAGCTTAAATATATCTGTGTATAAAATAATAATAATAATAATAATAATGTTTCAAATAATAGCCTAATAATAATTTTTTGTTTTCAGAATTGTGATTTGTTTTGCACTTCTCGGCCACCGTAATATACAGTATACGCATACTATATACATTTCTGTTGTATAGTATATATTATATATTTTTTTAATTTATTTTAAAATAATTATATTTAATAATGACCTGTTTCAAAAAAATCATATATTATCATATATATTACAAATAATTATAAGTGTACTATATATATATATATATATATATATATATGTGTGTGTGTATATATATATATTTAGAAATGTACCATTGTGTGGGTTTACTTGGCTTTACAATGGATTTACAATGTTTTATTTTTGTGTTTTTTTTTTCTTAATGAAATTTTTTTTTTACTGTAAGATTTTGGTGTGACATACAATCACGCTGTATTATAATTAGACCAATATCAAAGCAATAGGAGTCTATAGTATGTGCTCATTTATGGGTAAACTGGCATATATTTGTAATTTTTTCTAGAGCATAACTAGACACTTTGTCGGGAGTGTTGAGGATCAGGCAACAGTGAGCTGTTCTTTGGAGAATAACAGATTTATTTTATGTGACTGGCTGTGTGATGGAGGAGTTCCTCTGAAGGTTATTTTAGGTCATTTGAGTTTTGTTAATTAAATCCCTTTAATCCAGGAGTTTTATTATTGTTGTGAATCAAACTCATTGTCTAACCCTAGAGGGCGCCGTTTTGCCCCATCAAATACCTGTCTCACTCAGAGGCAGACTCCCAGCCCCCGGATACCCTCAACCGTGGGGTAGACGTGGGCGTGGCTGTTCTGCTGCAGTCAGCCAATCAGAGACTGTTGCTAACGCGTTGCGCCTCCAGCCTCCGGATCTTCAATAGGGTCTGGCTGCAGACATGCACTTGCATTTTCAGACTTGCACTCTCAGACTTGCACTCTCAGACACCTGCACTTCCACAATTGACATCACTTGCAGTCTTTTTTTATTTTATTTAATTGATTAATTATTTTTTTAATTGAATCTCTAAACATTTTACACAAGTAGCCAGGTGGTGAAGACAAGAAAAAAGAAACTAAATCACTAAGTCACTTGCAATCGCCGCTTGCACTTTTAGCTACTTGCAATCCACACGAATCGTGCGTGTTGCCAATGGAGACAAGATGCTGTGGTGGTTAAATGATTAAAACTAATTTAGTAGCCTACTATAACATACAGGGTCCTGCAAGTCATCTGTAGGAGAAAAAGACAAGACCCACAAATCCGTGGCCACAGAACAGCAGAATATGAACGCAATGCGCAAAGTCTCTCATGAAGCGCTTTTAAACCTCCCGTAGAAAACCATAAACATTTAATAGGCTATGGCTTAATGTATTAAGATAGTGCTATTAAAAGATCAAATTCAAGTTTATTAATATAATGTATGTATATAGTGTTTTCCTCCCATACCACAAAAGGTGGCATAATGTGGCATAACGGTCTAAGATTATAAAGACCTCATATGCTCCTCTTCATTATTAAAACACAATTAATATGTACAGATAAGCAGGTGAGACCAGAATAAACAGAGTTGGTCCATTTAATATCACTTAATGAATTTCTTAATGCGTGTTCATATGGTCTGTGTAGTTTGCATCAGCAATAAGAAATACTGAATTTGGTCTTTATCATCTTAGTCCGTTATGGCACAGCGTTTTGCTGTAGGCGTATGGGAGGAAAAGTAAAAGTTTGCTTGTTGTGTTCATGGGCATATGCTTGCCTTCTAGTAGTACATTAAATTAATAAACTATATATCGAATTTAATCTTTTAATAGCACTATCTTAACACATTAAGCCATAAGTGTTTATTGGTTTTCTACGGAGGTTTAAACACCTAATGAGAGACTTTGCGCATTGCATTCATATTCTGCTGTTCTGTGGCCACGGATTTGTGGGTCTTGTCTTTTTCTCCTACAGATGACTTGCAGGACCCTGTATGTTATAGTACTAAATTAGTTTTAATCATTTAACCACCACAGCGTCTTGTCTCCATTGGCAACACGCACGATTTGTGTGGATTGCAAGTGACGTCACGGTAGCTGAGAGTGCAAGCGGCGATTGCAAGTGACTTGTAACAACTCCATATGTGATGTCTTATTGGAAGAATGTGGTTGATTATATTAATTGGAAAAAAGTATGGACTCTGTCTTCGAAATACATGATAACTAACAAGGTTAGAGAAATCTCATTCAAATTGTTACACAGATTTTACCCAGCTAAAGTGTTTTTGAAAAGGTTTAAATCAGACATAGATACAAGCTGTTCTTTTTGTGGTGACCCTAATGAAACTGATATGCATATCTTTTGGGATTGTCCTCACACACAGCTATTTTGGATTGAATTTTCTAATGTTATCAATCGCAGTGTACTCCAGGGTTTCTCTCTGCTTTTTAAGGATGTACTGTTTGGCTTCTTTAATATACCAAAATATAAAATGAATGAATATTTTATTATTAACCTATTATTACTTCTTGCAAAATTTCATATTCACCGCAGTAAATTCACTAATCAAAATCCTTTATATATTGTTTATAAAAAAGAGGTTCAACAGTATATCCAAACTATTTCACCTTCCAAGAATCTCAAGGCTTTTAAAACGGTTAATTTATTTAATCTTTTTAATTTATTTTGTTAAATCTTTTGTTTTGTATTATTTATTTATTGTTACATACATCTATAAATGGTGCTTTGCATGTAATGTCACCTCTTTGTATGTAATGTTGATATTCTCTGTATTTTTATATTTGGTACCTTGGCATTAATAATAAAAATTTTTTAAAAAGATTGCAAGTGACTTCGTGATTAAATTTCTTTTTTCATGTCTTCACCACCTGGATACTTGTGTAAAATGTTAAGAGATTTCAATTGAAAAAAATTTAAAATAAATTAAATCAAATAAAAAAATGTAAAAAGACTGCAAGTGACGTCACTCGTGGAAGTGATCTTTCATTTTGTATTATTTATTTATTGTTACATACATCTATAAATGGTGCTTTGCATGTAATGTCACCTCTTTGTATGTAATGTTGATATTCTCTGTATTTTTATATTTGGTACCTTGGCATTAATAATAAAAAAATGTAAAAAAGATTGCAAGTGACTTCGTGATTTAATTTCTTTTTTCATGTCTTTACCACCTGGATACTTGTGTAAAATGTTAAGAGATTTCAATTGAAAAAAATTAAAAATAAATTAAATCAAATAAAAAAATGTAAAAAGACTGCAAGTGACGTCACTCGCGGAAGTGCAGGTGTCTGAGAGTGCAAGTCTGAAAATGCATGTGCATGTCTGCAGCCAGACCCTTCTCCGGATCTTCCCCAATGTTTGGGTTCCGCCCGGTGAGTGTGTCATTCCACACCGACCCAAATGATTCCTCAGATCCCCACTCACATATGTATGTGCTCGTGTTTATGATTTACAGGCGAGTGAGCTCATTTTGGTCAGTTTTGTCTTGTTCTGTGGACCACAATTTTAAATGGTTATTTTAAATAGTTTCTTTATCAATTTCAAATCTTACTTTCCATCAGAGACTGCGATTCTATCGGCTGAAGTAAAAATAGCCACAGAAATGTTGCCAGCATGTGTGTGAGAATACTTTGGGGTTCAGGACTAATGGATGTAATTTGTTTGTTCAAGTGGTCATGTGGAGCTGGATGAAGAGGTACTTGCTGTATTACATAAACAGTGCGTTGTAATCAGCCAGTCATTAACAGATATTGTCAAGTAATTTAAAATTAAATTGAGAGATTTAGTTTGTGATTGATTGATGTTTTATAATTTATATACAATGGGGTCCAAAGTCTGAGACTACTTGATGAATATTAAGTGTTTTGCATTCTAATTTAATACAATATTTTCATTACAAATTATATTATTAGCATAGCAAACTGAGTAATCCAGGTTTTTTTTAAGTACTTGAGCTGTGTGAACTCCACAAGTTTGTAATAATATTTGTACAAAGTCACAAATGTACTTATTGGATTATTGACCTAGAAATAGTGAAGAATTGGAAACATTTGTTCTTTATTTTTATCTTCTGGTGTTGTTCAGTTGGTACTGGGGTCAGTAAGAACTTTTTAAGAAAGAAGTCTCTTATGTTTACCAAGACTGCTTTTATTTAATTAAAAATACAGTAAAACTAAATA